TGTTGGCGATATGTCCCGTGATATAACCATTATATATATATATATAGATATTTCTATGATATATCATATAAATGTAGCATTTATAAATGTACCATTACATGCAGTATATTCTACATGTAGCATTTATTCTATAGCCATGATATATGTATTACTCATATTGCCAGGATGCTTCTGCTGGCAGGATCTGGCCAAAAGGATCGGCGAAGCAGAAGAGCTTCAGCGACGATGGATGCAGGTTGTACACGACAGCCCTGGTGGATTTTTCTGAGGTTTCAGAAGGGGATGTAGCCATCATCTACAGTTTTTTTTTCTGATATTTTTGAAAAAGATGTGGGAATATATTGATATTCATCCATTAAAACATATAGATTCCTACAGATTATACTATCCACATATTGCAATAATGATATCCATAATATGATCTGAATGTTTTAACCACGTTATGCATTTGGATATCATGGATGATGATTTCTTGGGGATGATCAAACTTGTACTTTGCATTTTTTAAAAGATAGAAAAAGTGATTCATCGGAGTAACAATAGATGACAATAGATTACATTATATAAATTACAATCAATGGATTACATCCATATAGATTATATCATTATATCAATACCCTCTGGTAAACGTACAAAAAACTATGGAAAATCACCATTTTTAATGGGAAGATCCACTATAAATGGTGATCTTCAATAGCTATTTTGACATAACCAGAGGGTAGTGATCTTTTTTTGGGGATTGGCTAAAGACCTTCACCGTCCCCGGTGGTTTGGTGCTGGTGTCCCAGTCGCTGCGGCACGTGGACGAGCTACGTTTGGATGAGCTCCACAAAGCCTGCGCCGCAAGTAGCACCGAGGTACAACGGTGCCAAGGGCGGGCCGCTGGGACAGGTTAGACATCTAGAATTAGCTGAGTTATATAGCTGTATAGTGTATGGGATTGTATGGTTATTATAACTAACATACATATATATATATATGTATATATATGTACAAGAAGCTTTTTCGTCTTATCTTTTCACTTACATTTCTACGCGATTATAATCCGAAGAAATGAGCTTTCGATTCATTGATGCGATCCATTTTTACCAATGGGGCTGCAGAACGCCAAACGACGTCGGCGCAGCATTTTGAGCTTGGCGGGTTTTTTCTTGTACTGCACGTGATTCTTGGAATTGCGATCTCCCCAAAGAACATAGGCCCAATTGGAAAAATACCTCTCAAAATTGCTGATTCTCAGGATCAATGTGATTTGATTGTGGTTCAAACACTTCAAAAGGACTCAAAAAGTCGACTTACTTTTTTTTACCACTCAAAAATATAGGTCGAAGTACTATGAGTCTGACTGCTACATGTATAGTACACTATAGTACTTAAGATCCTTTCAGAAAAGTTGGAATCCCAAAAAAGACTTCCACAGATCCAACGGATCCAACGGGAGGTGAATGCCTTGACCAGTGTCCGGTGCCTGGGGGATGGTGGATGATTTGAAATGTTATATTCCACATAATAATGAATAATAATTTATATAATTATTTGATATATTTATTGAAGTGTTATATTGAAGTGTTATATTTGATATAAGTGGTTATAATTTGATAATAATGGAATATAACACTTCAACATATGATCTGATTTTATATATTCCATATAATATTCCATATAATTTGATGATTTGATAATAACATATGATCTGGATAAATTATAACGACCTCACTGCGACCTCACTGGAATTATGGGAATTATGGTTAAGAAGGGGAATCATCCCAAAATGGCCGAACTATTCAGGTTAGTGAATTATTATAATTTGCCCAGATATGATCATTCCATACATCATTTTAGTATCTTTATATATCTTTCTATATATCATCAATGATATACTTATTCCGAAGTTACTAAGGTGCAGACTGGTGAACACATATCACACATTTTCTTGAGTGGAAGGAGGCGTGCAGCTGGTAGATTCTCTCTCTGGGTTCTGTTTGGACTGGCAAGGGCGAATGCCCGAGTTGAAAAAAAAACCGAGGCTGTGCGTGAGGTCGAGTTGAAAGCAAAGGCAAAAGAAGGAGCAGGGATTTTGGCACGCAGAATTCCGGGGATATCCTGATATCCCTGCTTGAAGTCAACGCATTTCTTGTTGTACAAAGCCAACGAACAAATTGGGTTTTGTTGACAGTGACGTGTACCCTGGAGTATCCCCCCTTTGGTCAGATCCCAGGACTTCAACAGATCGCCGCCGCCTTCATGAACCCGGACTTCCAGGCGGAGATGTTGCCCCGTGGTGGACCCCATATTTTGTCATCATAGGGAGCTGGAAATGGGGGACTGGGTGGATTATGAACGGTTGATACCATGAGATACCCTCTGGTAAACTAACATAGCTATTGAACATGGCCATTTATAGTGAGTTTTCCCATTGAAAATGGTGATTTTCCGTAGTTATGTTAGTTTACCAGAGGGTATCAGGAATTTTTTGAACACCTAGTCATCATCATAATATTCATTGATATCTAGTCATAGGTTTCAGTCTCTGACTCATTTTTTTTGGCAGACATATAGTTGATGATGAATACTGCGAAACTGTTAGTGTATGAAATCTAGAGGTGTACACCTGTTGTGGTAGGTTGATGTACCCCACACGGGAGTCGTGAAAACTGCCACTGTAGGCACGATGTTCGCTGGCTTTGCCAGACAGGTGGGCCTTTGGCTGGTTTTTTTTTGGAACCGATGGGGATATGGCCGCCACACGATCAACAGATTTGACACGACCAACACGGGATCCCCAGAATGGGTTCAAGGGAAGATTTGTCTCAAAACCATGGCTTTTTTGGGTGAACTTCTCAATGCGTCAAGTCTGCGTCCAGGCTTGCTTCTGAGATGAGGCTGGATCGCATCCAACCTGGTGACGACCAGTGGCCAGTTGTTCAACCATGGCCGTGTGTCGAGCCATGAGGGGGTTGGACCTGGCAGGGAACTGGCTTCAAACAAGCTCCCCGCCGCCTAGACCTTGGGGGAGCTGGGGTGTCAGCCTCTGTCCCATCGTCCACGTTGAGATGATAGGGACTGAAAGTAACTTGAGGACTACCATCACAGAATTGGATGATGGGAAAATTTACAGGAAAGCCCTATATTTGATGGTAAAAACCATGGTTTCCTGTAGATTTTCCCTTAAACCAATCCATTGATACCAGAACCCGTTGGTTTCCGCCAGACTCCAACTGATGTGTTTGGACGAGCTCCTGTCGCGACCCAGGTGGAGTCGTCACGCTCTCCGTGAGAAAAATGGAGGGTCCATCGCGATGCCGCTGGTGGTGATGGAACGTTTCATTCGGTTTGGCATGGTGCAGGTATTCTTACCATCTGGTTATTTAAAAGTTTGCCATGGAAAGATCCACCATTTTAAATAGGTAAACCATCTATTTCTATGGGCCATTTTCCATGGCTATGTTAAATAGCCAGAGGGTAATATATGTCTATAGCTACTACTCTTATTTGCTCTTGTTTGAATATTGTGAATATGTTCGTCCTCATTTTTACGGTCATCATTGGTGTTGTTTTAATGATTCTAGTGCTCCAATATAATTCCAGTTCCTACCTGCTTATCAGATCTAGGCTACATATCATACCCTTGCCTCAATCGGACACTTGTCAAGTTGACGTTGGGCTCTGCGTGCCTTGAAACCCGTCCATGCCCAAATCTGGGCCCGTTCACCTCTTTCCCTGCACCTTTTTGGGCTCTCATCTACCCGCGTTCCCTGCAGCATCTTGATCTGCCGCACACTTAGATGTCATCAACTTGCAATGCTTGGTAGCTGAAGAAGACCTGGTTGATGGTGGCTTCTTGGGGTCAGGGTGACCCCTTAGATTTCCATGATGGATGCTTCGATGGTCTATTTTTGGTTCAAACTTAGGGTCGTCTGCAGAATCCACATCGACACCAGACGCGACTAGCGTAGGTCATAGGACCTTGCCGCTTGAGGCATACAGCTGGGTGCAAGATCTGCTTGGTCCTTAATACAGGAACACCGGCTGTTGTGGGAGGTTTTGTTGACATCACTTGCTGTCAGGCGAGAACCTACTGTTTCTACATCGTTCCTACGTTATTTTCCAAACATGGACCTGTCTCACATTTTCACGAGGGATGCGTGTGTTTGCCATTTTGCTGGTAAAGCCTCCCAATTTGTATCGAATTTTGACCCATCCATCCATCTTGACTGAAAATTCTGCAGTATTGGAGACCCGGGAGAACTTCTGGGAAGGCACCTGGTTTCGAACTTTTACCTCGACAGATACTGCCAGTGACAATCCATCACTAGCCTGATTTGCTGACGACCTTGGCTTTTTGCAAGGAGAGCTCCAGCGAGCAGCGTGTTGCCTACCTGTCCAGGCCGCATGTTTTTGACCGCAGATTCTGCAGTTCTTGGAAGTTTCACCAAACACGGGGATGCTCCTGGTCCTCGTTATTTCGGATAGTACTTGATACCCATAGGATCCATGGTGCTGCTATATATGGTAACATGGATCCCATCAATATACCCCCTTTATGTTAGCATATATACCAGCACCATGGATCCAATGGGATATAAATCATGTAAAGATTGCCGCGTGGCGCCCTTTTCGGCACGAAGATCTACAGATATCTACAGGGGCCATGCTTGCTGAGTAGATTTGTTTCAGCCCATCCAGCCCATTCTGTCGCATAGTCGCTCCAATGTTTGGCACATCTTGATGATCCTTTGATGTCTTTCGGCAGAGAGAGTGCTCCGTTTGGAGTCCATCCAGGTGCCCGAGCGGGCCTCAAGGTTGCTTCCAAGTGTTCACTGCAAATCTCCAAATCCTCGGGGGAAGTGTCCCATGGGTCATGGTCGTCACAATGATTTTGCAGGGAATTGGATGGTTTACTTGTCTTCGTTGATTGGTCTGATGTCTGATGTGTGTATACATGGAGCACGGACAGACATCGTGGCACACGTCCCGATTTCGGCTCAAGCCGATTTGCATCATTACCCAGCAGGGTTATGCAGTTTTAATCCACTTTATTCCTGTTGATAAAAAACACTGTCCCGAGGCGGCCATGGCGTCAATGTCGTGGTTTCATGTCATCTTTGGCATCTTTCTGCGGTGCGAGAGTACCTTTGATTGTTCTGGCACCGCTTGTTCCAGCAGTGGCCATGGCTTGCTACAGGTCGACAAAGCCATGGGCCAGCAGCAAGTGACAACGACAACAACAACTTGGGCCAGCCCGTACTATATGATGCGCTGCGCGGGCACCCAGGTGAGAAATGCCAAGTGAAAAAACTACTGGTGTTGCATTGGTTTTGCATTCCCATGACGGATCCATGGTGCTGCTATATATGGTAACATGTAACATGGATCCCATCAATATATCCCCAATGTTAGCATATATACCATACATGGATCCTATGGGATTGGTTTTACGGCATTTTTCGGCTTGATTTTTTGATACGGATAGGAATCGATTCTTGGATTCCCTTTTGCAGATGGGATGATTGGTCCACTTGGCAGGCGATGACGACTCAGCATATGACGGAGGCGGACTATGACAGTATCACTTTGAAGGTCCAAGGCCTCTACCAATCCTTACCAAGCACGTGCACGGCAACCGAGTGTCCACAAGCTGACTGGGCCGGATGCGTCTTGCGGATGGCTGGGCATGATTTTATGGACTACAAGGATGGCGAGGGAGGTGCAGATGGCTGCGTGGACCTCACAGATGCTGACAATTCGGGGCTAGCTGAATGCCTCCATGCAGGGGAGTTTGGCATCTCCATCGCAGACGCCTATGAGGATTTCTGTGAGTCAGTCTCCTTGGCTGATTTCCTTGTCATTGCTGCCGAAGCAGTCATGACTGCATCTCGTGAGCATGTGACAGCAGAAGACAGCAGCCGATCCACCATTGACTTCAAGTCTCTTACTTTTGCTTAGCCGGTGATTCTTGGTTTTCCCGCTGAAAACATCCACCGTTTGTTTTTTTTTGTTTTTTTCGGAGGACTCTGCCAGCCAAGGTCCCAGTTCAAGTTCGGCCGCACCACCGCCACAACGTGTGACTTTGCACATGGCAGGTTGCCCAATCCAGAGAACAGCTGCTCAGCAGTCAAGGAGACCTTTGTCGACAGCATGGGTCTGACTTGGGCTCAAGCTGCAGCCCTGATGGGAGTTCACACACTGGGGAGGGCACAGGTGAGCAATTCTGGGTACAATGGTTGGTGGAGCTCAGCACTCATGAGCCGGAAGTTCAACAATGATTATTTCGTGTCAATCTTGGCCAAGGGCTGGTCACCGGAGGCTTCAGTTGCAGGGAATCCAGCCAAGAATCAATGGAAGCGAGCGGATTCCGGAGCAGATGAAGCTGCCCTTGGCAAAGAGATGATGTTGAACACCGACCTGTGTTTCTTGGCTTTGCTTCGCCGGTGATTTTTTAAAGGCATTTAAAGGCAAAAAAAATGTGTTGGGTGAATCTAGTGGGAGCCAAGCTGATCCAAGGTTTAGCTTTTTCAATGGATGATGAAGGTGCTGTTGAGCTTGATGCTGCTACCGCGGCAGAGGCTGGCTGCGAGTGCGCCTGGGGTACTCCAGCAGCTATAAGTACTGCCATCACCAAATATGAGAACGGGCATTTTTGCGGCAGCACCGACATCCCCGGAAAGGACAATTTCAAATTGCAGCGAGCCATCTGCTGCGGAGCCGAGTTTGATAAGGTCTCGGATGCCGTGATCGACTGCGGCCTTCCTTTGAAACCTGAAGGTCCAGCGTACTCATCGATCAAAAAGTTCGCCAACAACGAAGACAAGTGGATCAAAGTCTTTAAGGGGGCATGGAAGATCGTAACGAACAACGGCTTTTCACTGAAACGCCTTCGAAGCTGCTACAGCTGAGAAGAGATGACCGCACCAATCCTCACAGCTGAGAGAAAGGAGCCAGTTGCACCTGTCAGTCGCGTGGAAGCTTCGTAAAAACCTCTTTGAAGGATTTGGAATCTCAGCTCTGACACTGTCTGACACGGTCTCGCTTTCAAAGCTACCTCAGACTCATCAAATCAGATTTGAGGATATATTCTCTTTGCTTACGTAAAAATTACTCTCAACTGACTTGATATGCTGCGATAGGCCCGATGAAGCCCCTGGCCGTGCTCTTACATTGAGCCATAGGGTTGCAAGGTCGGTGGCGAGCAGGGCAAGGTTCCATGTGTTACATTGAATTTATTCATCCAACAAATCACCATTGAGATCTCCAGTGCTTGCGGTTTGCAATGTTTGAAGAATACAGTAGCCGCACGCTTGAAGAGGTGTGAACTTTGTAAACTTTTCACATGAAAGATATGAAAGATCATGCCGCCTGCTTTATTGACAGAAGATGGTGCCAGGTCCCATGGGGCTTGCACATCTGCGAGCCAAGATTGTGGTGCAGAGCCAGCCCTGGCTTCAGCAAGATCTCACGAGGTCGGGCTGTCCAATCATTGCTGGAAAGCCGGGAGCTGAAACATCCTGTGCAGTTCTGAGGCTTGAAGTCCAAAGCTTCATGCAAAAGCTATGAGGATTCGGATGAAAATGGGACACAGATCTTCTAAACATTTCCAATCATCCAAGTTCAGTGCTGTTGTGTCACATCAGATGTTTCCTGAAGTTTTCTCCTCGATTTCAGGACAGTTCCGGTCGATTTCAGGCGATGTTTGGGTTTTCTTTGCCTCCCAGGACCCCGAGCGGAGCTGCATGCAAGGGTGCCGTATACCAAGCAACGGTGCCTGGGGTGGTTTGGCATCTCAGAAACCAGGTTCAAAGATGTTCAAAGCCATGCATTGTTCGGTTTCGAGAAAGGGCTTCTTACAGCGCAGCAAATGCAGAGATATCTTGTGATGTGTGGTCAACAAGCTGTTCATACCAAGGAGTGTGCCAACAGGCTTCAACCTTTATACCGTGGGAGACGCAGAAAGAGTCGTCGCGCTCTGCATGAGAAAAGCCCCTGAAGTTTGGGGATGTAGCATTTGATTCTGGTTGGCATGGCCCAGGTATGCTTAGTATATCTTAGTAAATATGAATGCCGAATGCCTAGAGTTACTGTACTCTTATTATCTCTTATTTATATACTCTTATTTGGATGTTGTGAATACTGTTGTCGTCTTATTTTTTCGGTCATCATTGATGTTTCTTCAATGATTCTAGTGCTCCAAAATTCCTACCTGCTTATCAGATCTAGGCTGCATACATTCTGCATACCATACCCTTGCCTCAATTGGACATTTGTCAAGTTGACGTTGGATTCTTCATGTAGTGCCATGTGCAGCATGTCATTTAACCGCCAGGCAATTCAACTACGCATGTATTATCTGTATTACCGTGAACCGTTTCATGGGGATTCTTTACTGCCAAAGTATTTTTGAAACCGGAAGTGAGCAAAACTTATGATACCATATTTGATAATGGATGTTCACCGAACTACCGTACCAGGGCAGCTGTTCACCATTGTTCACCTCTTTCCCTCCATCTTTTGGGCTCTCATCTACCCGCGTTCCCTGCAGCGTCTTGATCTGCCGCACACTTAGATGTCATCAACTTGCAATGCTTCCGGTCAGGGTTACACGGTTACCCCTCAGATGTCCATCATCGATGCTTCGATGGTCCGGTGTTTTTGGATAAAACTTGGAGTTGACTGCAGAATTCGTGAAACATCTTGCACCACAACGTCGCAGAAGAACCAATGGGTGGGACTTACCCTTTGATCCACAACGACACAGACGCGACTGGTCGCTGGTCGCTGGATTCCTAGGCGAAAAACACCGCAGCAAGACATGCCACATGAGGAGCTTGCGTGGGGATCCCCTGGTGCCGATCCTCCTAGGATCCTGGCGATTTTTTTGTTCCGGGCTTCGACTCGGTGTGTTAATTTCCCATGACGGATCCATGGTGCTGCTATATATGGTAACATGGATCCCATCAATATATCCCCTTTATGTTAGCATTAATATACCAGCACCATGGATCCGTCATGGGTTTCGGGGTGATCATTGCTATCATCCGGCTGGAAATCACGAATTGGACCGGAGGGTCAGCCATGTTCAGACTGGTTGGTGGTGACTGGAACCATGGAATTTTATTTTCCCCAATAGTTGGGATGATGATCCAATCTGACGAACTCATATTTTTCAGAGGGGTAGGTATACCACCAACCAGCAGATGTCTTGTTGCTTCGAATCTTCCAGAATGAAGCCTGATCAGATTGAAGTCGCTGCTTTTCAAACTTCTGCACTCCCGGATCACTGAATGGTGCAACACCAAACTCCGCAAAGCATGTGCCACACTAATGTTGATTTTGGGACCAATGTCATTTTTCCATATTTTTCCATATTTTTCCCTACTTCAGGATCAAGGTTTAGGAGTTTAGGATCAAGGGTGCCAGAATTGACAGAACAGGTGATGTAGGTTCGGTGTTCACTTACCCATTTCTGTGCCATGAAAAAATTGTAGCCCAAATTTTTTTTGACCCATGGCCATATACACATGGTTCGCATATTTATACGCATGCCCATTAAATAACTGATTGGCTGCCTTTCACTCACGTGTGTTATGAATCTATCTATTATCTAATCTAAATCTAAGTCTAACTCTAAATCAACATCTGAATCTACATCGATATCTAAATCTCTCCATCTCTCGATCCCTCTATCTCTCTATCTCGCTATCTCTCTATGTCTCTATCTCTCTATGTCTCTATCTCTCTATCTCTCTATCTCTCTATGTCTCTATGTCTCTATGTCTCTATCTCTCTATCTCTCTATCTCTCTATCTCTCTATGTCTCTATCTCCCTATCTCTCTATCTCTCTATGTCTCTATCTCTCTATCTCTCTATCTCTCTATGTCTCTATCTCCCTATCTCTCTATCTCTCTATTTCGCTATATAACTCTCTCTCTCTATTTACCTATCTATCTACCTATCTATCTGTCTATCTATCTATCTATCTACCTATCTATCTGTCTATCTATCTATCTACCTATCCAAATATATACATGGTATAAATACGGTATAAACAAAACATAAATACATAAATAGGTACAAAAAATGAGCACATAAATATAAGCAAATGCATGAACACAATAGTAAATGAACAAACAAATACGTAGATAAACGAATAAATACAGTAAATAAATAAACATATTTACATATATTGCAATATAGAAAGACAGAAAGATAGAAAGATAGATAGATAGCTAGCTAGATAGCTAGCTAGATAGATAGATGGTATACTATATATAATTATATATACAACGGTATATATATATATATTAATATTATATGTCAACCCATGATATCTTCATCTCCAGCTCTACCCTTGTACCACCGAGTCCATGGCGCCCCATGGGCATCACCTCGCTGAATGCGCCCCGAGACCGGCCCACGGAGGCGAGAGCCAGTCGTCGAGGCCATTTAAGAATGAACGAAGATCAGAGAGAAAATGATGGGGTTTATTGGGTTATATTAGTTATCAACCAGTACAAGTAGAACTAAATACATCTAAAATACTAGTACTAAAATACCAACCAGTACTGAATCATCTAAATACTAGTCTGGTTGGTGGTTTGGAACAGCCGTGTCGGCCCAACACCTGCCAGGGGTGCGGCTGCCCTGGCTGAACGTTGGGTGGTTGTTTCATCCCTTCCTGCTATGGCTTGTTTTCCCATGGACATCCTTTCTGCTCGCATTGGTGACGTTTTTGATTTGGTCGGAAAAGTTCTGGTCTTCGATATTGGGCACAATTCCCATTTGATGCAGGCTAGAGGAGGTGATTTGAAGTTTCACTATGAGGGTTTCCTGACTGGTGAGTTTCACTCCTTCACCCTCTTCAATGTTCGTTTGAGTAAGCTGGCTCCCTTGCCTGCTGTCACTGCCACAAAGGACACCTTTGCCTTGGGACATCAGGTACCCACATGGGAGTCGATGCATTCTGTCATTGACCTTTGCTGTGGCTTTGGTGGCTTAGCCCAGGGGGCTACGGCAGCTGGTTTTGAGGTTGTGACCGCAGTTGATCAGAATGAGCGCATGGTTTCACTTCATGCTAAAGCTAGTGAAGCTGTTGGTATCATTGGGGATTTCGGCAAGCAAAGTGTTATCAAGGACATTTGGAAAGTTTCACGTGGTGCGGCTGTTGTTTCATCGGGTTTCAGCTGTCAGCCCTTCTCACGTTTGGGCGACGGTAGAGGTGAATTGGACGACAGGGCCAACTGTCTCACCAAAACCCTCAATGCTGCCATTGCCCTTCATGCATATGTGCTGATTTTGGAATGCGTTGCCCCGGCAGCCCAAGACCATTTTGTGAAAGCTGAGTTGCACCGATTTTGCCGTAGCACCGGTTTCACCTGCTCACAGACAGAGCTGCGTCTCGACCATGTTTGGCCATGCCGCAGGCAGAGAGCATGGTGGATCCTTACTGCCCCTGAAATCGGTGAGATCAAATTGTCCCCATGGAAACCTTTGGATAACTTGTGGGAAACCCAACAAATCATCCGTGAAATCCGTTTGTGGGATGAGAATGATGAACAACAATTGAGCCTTGATGATCAAGAATTGAATGCCTTTGGAGTGCTCAGTGATTCACATGCCAAACATATGCTGAATGCCAAAGGAGTGGCACCATGTGCCCTTCACGCCTGGGGCTCCCAATTGCATGCATGCCCTTGCGGTTGCAGGAAATATGGATTTTCTGCATGTCGTTTGGAGTCCAAGGGTCTCCATGGATGTTTGGTTAGGAGCGCATTGAGGCCTGATGGCACCACCCATTTGAGGCATCTACACCCCAATGAAACCATGGGACTCAACAGCATGGATCCTGTTCTGGATTTTGGGGAAAATGTTAAGCTTTCATTGTCTGCGGCGGGACAGATGGCCTGCCCCATTCAAGCTCTTTGGGTGTTTGGTTTTCTAGCTGAACGTTTGGATGACATGCAACAATTGGCTGCTTTCACCCCTGATTTTCAGATTCAGGCATACCGTTCTTGGTTGCTCATGCGATGCCGTCAAGTATGGCCTTCAGCTGATGAGCTGATCTGTGATGACAAGCTGCTTTCCATGATTAGTTTTTGGCAGGACCACAGTGAACTCTCCCTTGCTGAACTAGTTTTTCCTATGCGTTGGGAGGGGAAAATTGCGGGCTCTGTGAGCATCGCTTCAGTGCTTGATTTTCTGATTCGAAACAAGGTGACAATCCCTGAAATCATTTCTGAGGGTTCGCAGCAGGAAGACGAGCCAACTCCGTGGATGGATTGCCCTATCATTTCCGATGATCCTACGACTGTAGGCTGTCTGCAGGCTGATTCTTGCACTGTTGTGATTGAGGGCACCGGAGACTCACCCATTCGTTTTCAGCCCAAGTGTTGTGCGACTGTCTCACAGTTTTTGCATGCACACGCAAAGTTGGTTGAGTCCTTGGATGTTGAAGCCATTACGTTGAATGGTTTCCCTATCTCCCTTGAGCATGTCATGGAAGTGGGACAGGTGATTGTCATCCGCACACGAAAGCCACAGGTCTTGCCTGAAGCCATGATGAGTGGTGATGTTGTCACTCCAACTGTAGAGTGGTCACAGCCAGTGCAGGATCCTATTGAAGCACCTTCCCCACCGCGTAAGGTTTTGAAAATTTCCAAGTTTGATGTGGGTGACTGTGGTGTCCCACCTAGTGGCCTCCTGCCTGATCAACCTTGGTTAGATGCCACGCCTTTCCTGCAGTTGCAAGGGGAGCAATTTCTGAAGCTCTCGCCACCTATGCTAACCAATACTCAGCAATTGTGGTCAGTACGACATCAGTTTTTCCGCTCAAATGATCGTCTGTGCATCCTCGAGGCACAGCAACAATTTTGGGCTGATGATGAAATTCGGTTTCACATGAACGCGCTGATCGCTGCTTTCCGTGATTACCAGCTTAGGGGCAACACGCCTGTGACTCCGCTTTGTGTCATTGACCCGTTGGTTGCGACATCCTGGGTTTCTGGAAAGGGGTTTGATTGCAGGCTCTGGGCCAAAGACCATCCTGAGATTTTCCATGCTGGCATCCCAATTATCACTGTGGTACTCATTGACCAACACTGGGTCCCGGTTCACATGACCCCTACAAAAAATGTTTTGCATGTCTCCACTTGGGACAAGGCCGATGCTGTTCATGAAGGGTTGAACCAGGTTATCCAGACTTTGGCTGTTTCCCTTGGGTTCGAGAATGCTTTGATCAGACGTGAACACCGTATGTTTTTCACCTCAGATCTATGTGGGTCTTTGGCCATTGCATTTCTCCGACATGCCTTGGTAGGAACCTTGTTGCCGACTGATTGTCATGAAGCTGCGACAGTACATGACATGCTCCGATCACGGTATGTCGCAGTTTTGCAGGGATGTGATATTGTTGACCGCCCCTGGATTTGGGGGGCCGGAGATGCCCAAGACTCAACGGAGCAATCTTCGGTAGCCATCCCCACAGTCAACATCACGCGTGACCAGAGAATTGACCTCATCAATGAACGAGGTACTGCAATGGCTGATGATGAAATGAGGTTTCACTTGATCAATCTTGTGGAGAAACAGCCTGTTTCTACCTCTTTGTTGGGACGCACTTACACTTTCCTTGAACCTTTGGTTTTCAACTGTTGGAGTTCCATTGGAAAGATCATCGTTGAACAATGGTGTTCGCGAAACCCAGAGGTTCATAGCCAAGGTGTCAATGTGATCACTGTTTTTGCTGTTGAGGGCCATTGGGTACCAGTGTGGTTCTCACCACGCACCGCTGTCATGCAAGTCCACATGCTCCAAGCTGAGGGTGTTGATTTCACGCCTGTTGAGGAAGTTGTTGAGCTGATCTCACACAACTTGGGCTTTGAGAACTTTGCGGTACACAGAGTGCCAGACAGCCTGCCACCCCATACCATGTGTGGAGCATACGCAATGTGTTTTCTTGCACATGTTGTGATGGGCATGCCACTCCCTGATGATTTGGGTGAACTTAGGACCCTCCATACCAACATGAGAGCCGCCTTTGTTGCACAGTTGTATGCCATTGAAAACACCCCGAGGCCAGTGGTGTGGGGTACGGGCAAGCAAGGCACCGGTGCATTCCGTCCGCTGAGCCCTGCACCTGCCCAACAACAACATTTAGCCAAAGCATCCGATTTGCATCCACCCCGGCGCGGCCGACAGCCGTTGCCACCTGGACGTGTCTCCGATCGCCAGGTTGCACATGTCTCCCAGGCAGTCAACGTAAGTGGGGGAACCGGCCCTGAAGCCGAAGGGTCTCAAGCTGTAGGAAGACAACTTGACCGGCCAGAATGCCAAAAGCAAGATGCACCAAAGGTGAGCAATTTGGCATTGTCTCACCCCAGCGTCCGCAAATGCAGTAGTAGCTCCGATGTGTGCCCAGGTCAGTCGATGTTTGTGTCCCAGCAGTCGTCCAGTAGCCGTAGCTGTGTTGAAGCTGGACTTCACCCAGGGGAATCCGGGCCACTCCCTATAATGCCCGTGTCTCATGCTGAGCCTGTTGGATGTTTGGTAGCCAGACCCAGCGAAGCTCTGGTCTCACACACCTGTGTTGAGGCGCCAACTGGGAGTCGAACGCAGTTGCCCATGATGCCGTCTCATGTTTGCTATGCCCATGATGACCTTGCCCGGAGTAGCCGTGAGGACTCTGCTCAGCCTGCTGACTCCAGTACTTCAAGGGAATCCGGGCCACTCCCCATAACGCCCGATGGTAATGAACGACAGATTGATGAGCACCAGAATGGTGATGAAGCAAGTGTGGAGGAGGTTGCTCAAAGGCAAGCGCGACTTCTGCAAGTTACCTCCCATAGTTATGCCATTGCTGATGATGAGATGCATTTCCAACTTCAACATTTGATGCAGTGCTATGTCCATACAGACAAGCGTTGTTTCATGTTTGCACCCCCGCTTGCTGTCTTCCAATGGATGTTGGGTGACCCCAATGACCTTGATGGTTGGATCCAAGACAGCTGGAGTGTCAGAGATGCGGATCATTCCCATTTGCTGGTTGCACTGTTGATCGAGAGCCATTGGATTCCTATCTGGTTTTCTCCTAGCCCCGAGGGTTTGCAGGCCCACACGTTGGCTGCTTTCGCAAGTGATGAACCGCTTGTTGATAGTGTTTTGCACCTTTTTGCGGCCAGGCTTGGCACGAAGCTTCACATGATTCATCGAGTCCCACATGGTATTGACATTGACCGTCTTTGTGGGGTCATGACGCTTAGTTTCTTTGCACATGTCATGTTAGGTACTGCCATGCCACGTACTGTTGAGGACCTACAGGCCAGGTGTTGGAAGATGAAGGCGATTTTTGCTGAAGCGCTGCAAACAGGACCTGTCACACAACCCATTGCTTGGGGTTGGGGGTACAACTGGGAATGCAGGCCACTCCCTTTAATGCCTGCCTGGAGTGATGTAGTTTCTCTCATAGGTCATGTTACCGGGCTTCAGCCAGATGTTGCCCGGCTTCTTGCCCTGCAGTGTACTTTGAAAGCGCAAACAATCCAATATAGCATGTCGGTTGAGGAAATGACCTTCCATGTTGCGACCCTGGCCAGGAATGCACCAACCATCTGCTCTTGTGATGTTGCAGTTGGCATGTCTCACCTTGACACAATCATTGCAGACTTCATGCGAAGTCCCCACCGGGTGCTGTGTTGTGCCTTGTTGAGGGATTGCCATTGGACTCCTGTCCTGGCCTTTAAAGTTGGCCCAATTGTGTACGTCTTTCTGGAACCTGACAATGCAAGCTGCCAATTTCCGGGGTGTTTCACTTCTTTCATTCCGGCAAATGACTTGCAATTTTGTGGTGCTGTCACTTGGGTTGTCCTTGCTAGGGTGTGGAAATTTGGTGAAGTACTGGGTGAGATTGCAGACATTCGCTCCATGTTGCAGCAGCAGGCCATGGGACAGTTCCTGCCCACAACAAGGATTGGCTTTGGCCCTAATGGACAGTTGCTAAAAAAATTGTGTGCTGAACTCTCAAAACATGGCATCCCTGACCACCTGATTGAGGAGCGGGCGCAAGCTGCCATCAAAGTGTTGGGTAGTGACCAGTTGTTGACCGCCCTGAATCACAGACAACCTTGGCGGCAACTTAAAGCCTTGGGAAATAACTCCAAGTTTCAGTTTGTCCTCCCGAGTGAATTGGCCAAAGCAGTTGAGACCCAGAAGGGTAAACCAGTCACCAAAGGGAAGGGAAAAGGCAAAGCCAAGTCCATTCCTACCCCAGTTGACCTTGACCCGGCCAAGTTGCAAGTGTTGGATGGTACCTTCCGATTTCAAGACAGGGTCCTCCCTCAGCTGACCACACAGCAGATTGGACCGTTGAGCAGCGGTGTTATTCTCATGTCGCTCCAGGATGCTGAACCTTACCTGAAGTCAGGCAAGCTTGTTTCACAGGAGCCACTGGCCTTAATTGTCCTGCATAGGGCCGACATGCCTGTCCAGACAATGCTTCCTCACGCCCCGATCTCCGTACCATGTCGATGCATGATTGACAGTGAACCTGTCCTGATCGATGCTGTTCTTGTTCAAGTCGGAACTGGTCTAGTTGAAAAGGCTGTAGGCACTGCTCTCCTCACGGTTGACACGCCTGAGGTTGCAACCTTGAAGGTGATGGTCTATAAGGATGAGTTGCAGGGTGATTGGGAGGAATTTTGCCAGTCCCCCATCAAGTGTTTAGTTGGCATGCTTCCCATGTTGAAGAGGTGTTTCACTGAAAATTGCCAATGTGACGAATGGCACAACCCAGAAAAGCTTCCGATACGTGACCCGATCATTGACGTTTGGCGTCGCCAATACCTGCGCCAGGGGTTCAAGCCTTGCCCCCCGGCTGAAGCTGAGTTCTTTTCAGTGTGCCTCCGCATCCCATTGTGCCTCCTTGAGGTCATGTTAGGTGCCAGTGGAGTGTCTGGAGTTTACTGTGAGCCACGTTCGGCTGATGGCAAGGAAGTTCTTTCTAGCTTTACAGTGATTTGGACGCCCAAGCACTCCTTACAGGAGATGAAGCATCTCATGCAGACGAACCCGGCGGTGATCGGCCTGGCCAGGCTTGCCGACCGTCGGGGGCTCCGAGTGCGCAGTGCCCAAGCCAAAACAATTCATGACCTGGTCAGACCTGACACGGTGTATCTGCCCAGTGGACCTAAAGGCCAGTACACGGTAGGACCTTTTCCATATGGAGTTGATAGGCAAGCTGTGGGGCGCATCCTGAACAAAGCTGGATGGGAATCCCGCCCGCTCCAACCGGCGGCGCCGTGCCCTGGCAAAGGTGTGATGTGGACCGTCCAATCTGCTGCTGAGCCGCCCCAAACAATCATCATGACGACCTCTGGTGAAATTATGATTTCCAAAGTGAAGCAAGATGTTGTCTCACCCTCTGCCCCATCCCTGACTGTTGGATCAGCCGCCACTTTGGCGTTGTGTGGACGACCAGTTGAGGGCAACAATAATGATGACCCGTGGGCTGTACATGACCCATGGAAAAAGTATCACCCTGTCAGCCCACCAGTTACCGGCCCTTCTGAAGGCCTTCAGCAGATTGAAGACCGCATTCAAACGGCTGTCCTTGCAAAGATTCAGCAACCAATGGAGCAGGATGACCTTCCTGATCGTGTTTCAACCCTCGAGGGCCAGGTGCAACATCTGTTAGCCAAGCAACAGGGATTGGAGACTCAGTTTCAAGAGCACAGCAGTCACCACTCCCAGCAGATCACGGCCCTTCAAGGCCAAGTTACAGCCCAGGCTCAACAGCTCCACGGCCACCTGGAAAATCAAAATCAGACAATGCAATCGCTCTTTGAGCAGCAGATGCAACAGATCCGTGGCCTACTGGCCAAACGTCCGCGGGAAGAAGGAATGGAATGACATGGAGGCCGAGGACTTGGAATGGTGGCACTCCTTTGCCTTGTGAGTGCTTGTGTTGGGTCCCACCTCTGGGTCCTGGGCCTTTTCTTTTGGGGATTTTGTTGGGGATTGGCCGTGTGCCGCCATGCATCGGTTAGATGCAAAACCCTGTGTTGGCCCTATGTTGCTGGCCTCATGATGCTGTGTCGCATTGGTGAAGCTGCCAACCCTGGCCCTAACACCAAATCCAATTTTGCCATTGGTGTCTTTAACCCGTCAGGCCTTCCTGGCAAGGCACCTTATTTAGTTTCACAATTGGCCCAAGGGGACATTTGGGCTGTGTCTGAGACCCACCTGAGCTCTCAGACTATGAATCAATTTTGTGCCAGTATGCGTTTTGCCAAAAGCCCTTACAGATATGTGATTGGGGGGCATCCGGTCCCTGCACAGACCGATCGCACTCATCATGCCAGTTGGAGAGGGGTTGCCATGGTTTCCAAGTTCCCTACACGTGAGGTCCCGTCTCACCTGCCTGAAGATGTTAGATTGTCATCGAGGGCTTTGATTACAACCACCCTTGTCCAGGACACTTGGATCACTGGAGGTATTGTCTATGGGGAACCGGAAAGTAGCGCTTATCCACACCAAAAGACCAACAATGAGCGCCTCCTTCATGAGGTGACTAACCATGTTTGTTGTCTCACCAAAGGGCCGCGATTTGTAGCAGGTGATTGGAATGCTGCTCAGCCTGAGCTTCCGGTTTTTGCTAGACTTGAAGAGGCGGGTTTTTTGGATATCCAAGATGTAGCACACCAACGCTGGGGAGTCTCGCCCCAACCAACCTGCAAGGGGGTGACAAGAAAGGACTACCTGTATCTTTCCCCTGAACTTCAGCAGTTGCTGCTTTCGGTGGAAGTTTATCCAGATGTCTTTCCTGACCATGCGGTGCTCCTTGGGGTGTTTCAGTCTCTGCAGACTCTCCCGCCGAAACAGATTTGGTTTTCACCTACTCAGTTCCCATGGCCCACTGATTGGTATGTCGATGCTAATTTCTGGAACAATGCCACTGGCACATGTGAGGAGAGGTATCACTCCCTGTGGCGTCATATTGAAGACCAAGCTGCTCATCAGGTCCCGTTTCCGGTGCCTGCCAATGCCAAGGGACGGGCGCGTACCCTGACTACAGCCCCGGTAATTGCTGGTAGAGTTCCACCACCTAGGAGTGCCCGTAAAGGTGACATCCAGCCCCAGTATGTATGTGCTTCCTACCGTCATGCCCAATGGCTGCGCCAAACCAGGCGACTCCAAGCTTACTGCCGTTTTGCCCGCAGTAATGATGTCACGACAGTGCATGGACGTGCAGTTTGGGGAGCTATTGTGCGGGCTAAGGGATTTCACCCAACGTTTTTGCAATGGTGGAACATGTGCACCACTAGGACTCCTGGAGCCCCGGCTGCCTTGCCAGTCCTTCCACCATCCCATGCTGTTGCCCAACATGTGTTTGAATCAATGTGCCTTGCCCTCCGTCACCTTGAACGTGAGCTGCAAAAGTCCTCAAGACTCTATGCCAGGCTCAAACGTGATAGCAACCCAAATGTGATCTTTCAGGACTTGAAGTCGTGCCCTGACCAGGGGGGTGCATGTTTTGCTTCAACCTGCAGTGGCCAAGGTATTGGAGCTGCGTGATGATGACTGTTCAGTTGTTCTGGATAAGCCCATGCAGTTTGATCATACCATGCCCATTGTTTGTAATGCTATCCCACTACCGGTCATACATGCTGAGCATGACTGTTTGTGGCTACAGTGTTTGGATGGGGTTGAGGTTGGTTGCACTGTTACGCAACTTTCGAGGGTTGGCACTGATGGTGACCTGTTTCACCTGTTCTTGACTGCCTGGAAGGAAATGTGGGAGCGCCACTCCCAGGTGCCTCAGGAACGATGGAGTGTCATTTTGGAATTTGCCAGACAGCATCTGCCCAGACTGCAGTTCTCTTGGCCCTCCATGACCGCAGATACCCTGCAGCATTGTGTTTCCAATAAGAAGCCTGCGACCTCCGGTGGGCTTGATGGTGTTTCACTCCAGGATTTGAAAGCCTTGCCTCATGCAGCCCTTTGCAATTTTGCGGACCTGTTCCAACATGCGGAACAAACTGGCAATTGGCCCAAGCAAATTGTGGCTGGCCGTGTGGCCTGCATTGCCAAAACACCGGAGCCGAAGAAAGCCTTAGACTTTCGACCCATCACTGTGTTAGGCCTCCTCTATCGTTGCTGGGGGACCTTTCAGGCGAGACAGGTCGCCCATTTGCCCACTGGCCTGTTTGGTAGTAGACCACAACGCTACGCAGGTCAGGTTTGGTCCCAATTGCTTTGGTCCATAGAGCAGGCATATGAGCAAACCATTGAACTCTGCGGAATCATTGCGGACATACAAAAAGCATTCAACTTTTTACCCAGGCAGGTGGTTTTTGAGTGTTGTGCCATTGTAGGGATCCCGTTTCCGGTGCTGAGAGCCTGGGCTGGTGCCCTCACGATCATGCCGCGACGTTTCCAGTTGAATGGGGCACTCAGCCCCCCTGCATATAGCAATTGTGGTTTGCCTGAAGGCTGTGCCCTGTCATGTGTTGGGATGATGGTTGTGGATATGGTTTATCATTCGTGGATGACCCATTTCTTCCCAATGTGCCAGCCATTATCATATGTTGATGATTGGCAGATTCTAATGACCAACCCCGCCATGTTGCAGCCAGCCTTGCAATGCCTGGAACGTTTCACCCAAGCCATGGATTTGTTCCTTGACCAGCGGAAAACACACACCTGGGCGATTAGTGCCAAGGGTAGACAGCTGTTGCGGGACCAGGGCCTTGACCTGATTGCTGGGGGAAGAAATCTAGGAGCACACGTCCAGTTCACACGGCTGCACACAAATCGCTCTTTAATGGCACGAGTTCAGGAAGGCCAGTCCCTCTGGCATCGTTTGCGTCTGTCTCCCAGCCCATATCATGCTAAAGTCAGGGCCATCCGTGTTGCTGCATGGCCTCGTTGCCTGCATGGAGTGCCTGCGACCACCCTGGGTCTCACCACCTTTCAAATGTTAAGATCAGGGGCGATGAGAGGCCTCCGGGCTGATGCCGCGGGAGCAAACCCGATGGTTCAGTTAGGCATGATCGAGCAACCAGCTACGGACCCTCACTGTTGGTCCATTTTGCAAACCATACGTCTCACCCGAGACTGCGGTATGCATGAGAGGGTCCAGCAGGTTTTGAGTGAGATTGTAGGAGGCTCCTCTGCCTATCCAGCCAACAGTATAACAACCACGTTGTGCACCCGCCTGCAACTTCTTGGTTGGCATATTGATGGGTGTGGACATGTGGTGGACAGGTGGGGCAAGTTTTCTTTGTTTGAGGTCTCCATGCCAGAGGTTCAGTACCGTGTCGAGATGCAGTGGCCGACTATTATTGCGGCCAACACTGAGCACCGGGGTTGTTTCACTGGACTTGAGTCTTGCGATGCGGCTGCTACACGTCAATGGCTTAACACTCTGGATGTTGCAGATCAGGCCTTGTTTCGCAAAGTCCTGAATGGAACTCATTTCACTCAGGATGGGAAGATGCACTGCCAGGAGATTTCCTCTGATGAATGCTTGTATTGCGCCTGTAGTGACAGCCGATACCATAGATTTTGGGAATGCCCTAGGTTTGAACCTTTGCGGGAACATGTCCCGGCTGACGTGCGCAAAAGCATTTTGGAGTTGCCGGAAGTGCTCACGTGTGCGGGCTGGTCCCTGCAGCCCACGACTCTGCAGGAGTGGAATTGCTATTTTGCAAACTTGCCGGCCCCACCACTGCCAAGTCTCACACTCCAAGGGGATTTGTATCTGTTTACTGATGGGAGCTGTCATGATCAGCGCAATGTTAATCAACGGTTTGCTGGGTTTTCAGTTGTGCTTGCCTCTTGTGAAGCAGTACATGACTGTTCTGGGAGCCAAATTCTGGACTCAGGACATTTGCCGGGGCTCTTGCAGAGTGCTTATCGGGCAGAGATCTTTGCAGTCTTGCGTGCTCTTCAGATTGCCCAGCAACATGATGGCAGGATTTTTCTCTGGTCAGACTGTGATGGGGTTGTTCGTCGGCTCAAGCGGCTAATATCTGGGCATGCACTCCATGTTAACAGTGCTCACTATGACCTTTGGGCTGAGATCCAGATGCTTGTCAGACAGCATGAGGGCACTCTGGTTGTAGCCAGGGTCTCTGCACATCAACCTGATGATGCAGGAGATGTCTACAAAGAATGGTGCTTCCGACACAATGGTATTGCTGATCGTCACGCCGTCCGAGCCAATTTGACTAGGGATACTGACTTCTGGACTTTGTGGAGGCGCCATTGCACTGCTTGTGAAGGGATTGCATGGTTTAACACGCATGTACATGATGTCCAGTTGGCCATTAGTCGAGAAGCCACACGTAATGGGTCCCCTGCTATCCCGCAACCACTGCATGAACCAGCCTGTGCACGGCCGTGCCCAAGCTGGGTGTCCCTGCCTCCTTTGCAAGTACCTGCGGCCGCGGTTCGTTGGTATGGTGATTCATTGGTAAGACACATTGTCAGCTGGTTTTGGGCTACCACTTTTTCAGGTGTCCATGAGATGGTCTGGGTGTCGCACTTTCAGCTATATGTTGACTTCATGCTCCTGACTGGTTTACCTGGCCCAGTCAAACAGGAGCGTTGGTGCGATGGACAGACGTTGACACCCCTGTGTTTGGGCAACTATGCATTTCGTACACGTGCTAGGTGGTTTACGAAAGTGTTGAAGGAGATCCTGCGGCATATGAGGGTCACCCTCCATTCTGACTATGGTCGCCCTGCCTCGCAGATGGTTTTGATGCACGCAGGTATCATTGCTGTTCCATGGCCCCCTGAACGGCTCCAGATGGTGGATGAATGGATGCTGTCTCATGGTGGGGTTACCTTTCGCAGGCAGACAGTGGCGATCGACAGCCTGCCCACTGCCGAGAGATCTTCGTTGTTTCCACCCCATTTAGTTTCAACCTTTGGCCTCTGAACTCACCCAAGCCGGGTCACGTTCGGCATTAACGTGACGCGCGAGTCAAAATGGGAGTCAAAATGGTGGTTTGGAACATTTGGATTATTTTTCCATTCAGTTGGGAATGTCATCATCCCAACTGACGAACTCATATTTTTCAGAAGGGTAGGTATACCACCAACCAGGTATTGGTCAATCATGATTAGCATTCGTGACATGATCATGAAACAATGGTTCCCAAAAATGGTTACTAATGGTTGATCATGAATAATCATGATTGACTATGGTTCATATGGCTACAACTATGGTTTATATGCGAAACCTATCAACCAAGTAGTATTGAGATGGTAAAACCGGGTATCTGTAATGGCTCAAATGGTTTTGGTGCCCGAAAATCATACAAGGCGGGGACCCCCTAGTTATGTTTGTAGGTGTAGAACCTCCATACCTCCATCAACGATAGTTATGCCTCCCATAAACCCTAGTTAAACAAATTGTAAACCAACTTAGCTCTTTAGGACTCCCCATTTTTCCTTTGCCGTAATTGGGGGTACCCTCTGTCCAGACGGGTTTCCCAGCTAGAAAACTTCCATTTATAGAGGGTTTCCCGTTGCCACATTTGATTGCCGGAGGGTATTTACAAATCTATACTGTATGGATAGCTATGGTTAGTATGTTTACGTATACACATATCTATGAACATAGCGATATAGTTCATTTTTTGATGACTACATGAATTTTTCCACTGAAACCAACGATCTGCAGAAATTAGAACTCTGAAATTATATCATACAGGGATTTGCCTTCTGGTAATTCAATCGTTTGCTACGGACCCGCAGGACCAGCGCTGGCGACCAGCCAAAGGGGCACCTGAAGTGCCGCAGGTGCCAAAGCCAGGGCCACGTTGGTCGATAAAATATAGGAACAACTATGGGAAAATATGGGACATCATATATAAAACATGAAGATTTTAATGGGAAAAGGATCGATGAATGGGAAATCAACCAGTGGATTCATACCCAGAAAAGATATGCTTTGGCAAAATCCTACTAAAAGGGTGTTTGTATTTTTGGATGTAGGGGGAAATTACACTTATTTGGAACCATCGAATGGGGCTGTCTAATTTGAGGGGGATGGGCTTAGTAGCTCCAGAGAAGATGGTGTTGCTGAAATCAATTCCTGTGAAATAGTGATACATTATGATATATTATGATATTTTTCCTTTTTTTGGAGGTTGCAATTTATGTTGTATGGCTATGATGCCCCTTTTCTTGGAGAACCCCAAAAACTCCAAGAAGATTAGATATAGGTCCATTTTTCGCTAGACAAATCAAGAGGTTGGAATTCTTTGATTCATGATTTCAGAAAGACCATTCTGAATACCCTCTGGTAAACTAACATAGCTATGGAAAATCACCATTTTCAATGGGAAAATCCACTATAAATGGTGATTTTCAATAGCTATGTTAGTCATCACCAGAGGGTACCTCCATCACCATCTCATCCCAACTTGGTTTCACCTCTCTGTTTTGGTGGATCCCCAGCCGCCCCGAAACACGTTCCGCCAGGAGAAACTTGAGCGTGCTCGACGTGCGGTGGGTGACCAGTGCGGGGAACCTCAGAATTCGAAGTCTGGGGTCTAAAAAAAAGCGGCCGACCTAAAACGACGAGCTCAGGATGAAGATGATGCTTTATAGGGCCCATAGGGGGAATCATTTTCAGAGAGAACATAGAAAAACCATGTTTTGTGAATTGCCCTAAGGCAAACTCATGAAGATGTGGAAAACCTTTGGGAAACCCCTAGGCCCAGTGGAAAATCATCTAGAAATTCTTGATTTTCCACTGGGTAAATAGTTTGGTAAGATATCTACCAGAGTCATCAGTAATTCTACCCCCACGCCGGGAGTGTCGCCAGAAGGTTCATCATGTGACCAACTGTTTAAAGTTATTTAGGGTTTGTTTAGGGATTGTTTAGGGTTTGTTTAAGGTTCATTTCGGGTTTCATTTAGGGTTTTTAGTTTTTTTTTTTTAAACCACGGTTTTAATAAAAACATACTTTCAAGGCGTACTTAGGGTTTCATGTTAGATTTAGGTTTTGGGGTTTAGGATTTAGGGTTTAGGGTTTCGTGTTTTGGAAACAAATCTCGTCATCCATCTGGGGAGATGGACGACATCCCGAATCTCATAAAACACTGGCCCTGCGCAGTCAAAACGCACTTCCCCGGGCAGCACACCCGTCCTGGCCGTAATTCTACTATCTGGTTTGCGACTGATTGTTCAAGATGGGGGTGGCTCGTTCGCGGGCGAAAAGCGGGAGGGACCATCGAAAGGTGGAATTGTGAGCATGCTCTCAAACAAGAACAGAATAGTTGATGTTGGAATATGGGCGTGTGTCTGACAATGGGGTATACATCCCAAATGGCAAGTTTAATAGGGAAATACATGACTAACCGTGGATTTACCCTGGTACCTGGTTTTCAGACAACCCCACATTTGTTGGAACGTTGAACTACAGATTGATGAGCTCTTTCATAAGGTAGTTCTTGAATGTTCTTGATAGGGGTTGGATTTGATCTTTCCCTTTCATTGGCATAAAGGAAACATCCACATACTTCGGGGTGAGGATGTTTTTGGCGGGGATGATCCTTCCAGGAAGTATCCCCTTATAATTAACAGAGTGGATGCTGCAATTAGATTGTAATACTGTGACCCATTGGGTAAGTAATTATTATTGGATTAAAGTCCCTTATACTTATACCTGGTATAGACTGATTCTTATTGTGATCCCTTTGCATTATACTAGTTTATACTTATTCCTCATGACATGTGTAGTAGTGAAAGCCCAGTGGGGTCTTCATCCTCGAGGCATGAACGCTCGTGTTCCTGGCTACACGGGCTTTATTCCCTCTGCCAAAGCAGAGGCAACAAAGGGTTTGAAGCCACTGGTGGGGCCTAGGGTGGCCTGACGTTGGAAAGCTCACGGGCCACCATCCATACCCATGGCCGGGGGCATCTTGCAGGAACCCATGAAGAACTTCGGATGGGATCAGAACAACCAGAAGACATTTAGCTAGTGGATGGAGGTCATGTAGGGACTTGAAATGACTTGATCTTGCAGCCAGTGGCTGGCATTTTCATACATCTCACACTCACTTCATGGAAGACAGCACCATGTTTTCGGTCAAACATCACCAAAAATTCGACCAAATCACTCAAATGTACTCTATGGAAGGTATTTCAACATACATAACATCACATAAAATCCCCAACGTATCTCCCAAGCGTTTCTGCGCAGACAAATTGACAGGACATCTATGGCCGAACTCAAGCGGCCGTGGGTGCCGGCGCCAGAGAAGAGCAGTGCGAAAACCTGGAAGAATGGTGGCAAAGACTACCGCACTTCATTCATTTGAGCCTTCAAAACCTTCAAAAGAGCGGTTTTCACAATAAAATTATGGGGATTTAAATAAGGATGGAATTAAGTGGATATAACTTATATAACTGATACATGTGCGTTGGTTGATTTAATGGGGATGGAAAACCAGCAAACATATGGGGATATCATTGGTAAATGATTGTTGATTGATGATTAGTTCGGGTGTTCTACTACCCTTGATATTTCTTGGGGATCATTACAATCCCTGAGCTGGCAATGCCGTTCTTAACCAACAAGTACAACGGAACGACAGAGAGTTGCTCATGTGTGTTTTTTCGATGGGGATTTAACGTGCAATTTGGTTGATCGAATGGGGATATCATGAGGATATTGGACCTGATTCATCTTTCTAATTAAATTACCCTCTGGCAATTTAACATAGCTATTGAAATTGACCATTTATAGTAGATTTACCCATTGAAAATGGTGTTTTCCCATAGTTATGTTAGTTTACTAGAGGGTAATGGGGTATTGATCCGAAAAATTATACATTCTAATGTTGGAGTATACCCTCTCTGATATATCGTGTTCAGCAGGGAATATGGCTGTTGAACATGAAGCATAGGGGTAGTATAGTCAGCAATGAGTGGGACCTTTGATGGGAATACCATCGGAATGCAATGGGAATATAGCGAATATCATGGGTATTACTTGGAGAATCATGGGAATATCATGGGTATATTGTTTATATATTTTTCAAATATTGCCTGGTTATGATTCTAGAAGATGCGGATCATGGTTTCAATTACCACTTGGTTATTTAACATAGCCATGGAAAATTGCCCATTTATAGATGGTTTACCCATTAGAAATGGTGATTTTCCATGGCTATGTTAAATAACCAGATGGTATTTTGTGAATGTTTGATACTAATGCCATAGCAGTACCATAAGATGCTTGATCTGGATGAAGAACGACCTGGGACCTCACGTCGTGATCTCACTTCGGAATGTCATTGGATTGGGGTTTTTGAGTTACCCTAAATGGTCGGACCGCAGGTTGATGGCGTAGTCTTCACATGGGTGCTGGACATGATTTTTGAAATATTCATGATGCTTAGACTTTTTTGTGATATTTGCTGACACCTGGATTATTTTCACATATTTTCATCGGGGATGGGTTGATGAGCCATTGAAACTCCCCAACTGTTGATTGGTTATGTTCATCGGGGGTTGTTGTTGTTGTTGTCGTTGTTGTTTTTTGTTGTTAACTTGCCTGGCTTATTGTGGATCATGATATAAGAGATAACCCATTTCACTGGATCAAGCAACCAGTATCATTGGATATTGTTGAAGGGGCAATTTACGGGACACTCAACAAATTCGGAAGGCCAAATTGGACCATTGCATTTCCCGAACATGTTCCGAATGCACATCTTAAACCAACCTAGTGAATCATCCACATAAACCCTCCGGTAATCAAACGTGGCAATGGACAATTGCCTGTTTAATCCTAGGGCGATTTTTTCCAGCCACATTGGATTGCTAAGACGAGGTGGCAGATGGACCAGCGCCGCGCGGCGCTGCACGAATCCCTGCGAGCCTCGTCGCGAGCCTAGCGCCATTCGCCGCCAGAGAAGATT